AAGGCGGGGTAGAAATATCGTAAATGATAAACAAACACTTGCATTACTTTATGAGAAACACTTGATGATGTGTTTATAATGTTTTATACTGTTGTTATCTAAAATGACTGGCTGGGCTGGCTTTGTTTTTGCTGCCATGGCTCAGAAGAGGCTTCTCACTGGTTCCAACTGTTTATATTTTAATAGTGTCACTGTTTCATTTTAATGTGTGTGTTTTTCGGTTTTCAATGATATCCTGTGTTGCTTTGATTGTAAGCGGTTTCAGTCTCCTTTTATGAGAGAGAAAGCGGGAAGGTGACTAAAATAATCAACGGTCCAGAGAACAACCCCTATGAGGAGCGGCTGAAAGAGTTGGGCATGTTTAGCCTGAAGAAGAGAAGGCTGAGAGGAGGGATGAGGGCCATATGTAAATATGAGGGGGATATGTCATAGGGAGGAGGGAGCAAGCTTCCTTTCTGCTGCCCTGGAGACTAGGACGCAATGGAGCCATGGCTTCAAACTACAAGGAAGGAGATTCCACCTGAACCCGAGGAAGAACCTCCTGACTGTGAGGGAGAGCTGTTCAGCAGTGGAACTCTCTACCCAGAGGCTGGTGGAGGCTCCCTCTTTGGAGGCTTTGAAGTAGAGGCTGGCTGGCCATCTGTCAGGGGGGCTTTGAAGGCAATTTCCTGCTTCTTGGGTGAAAGAGGTTGGACTGGATGATGGCCCACAAGATCTCCTCCAACTCTAGGATTCTATGAATCTCAGGCTATCCCAAATGAATTCCAGCCTGTGAAGGCCAGAGATGCAGGAGGGGAACTGAAGGCCAGAAGTCAAGAGGGTCTCTTATGGTCGGATAAGAGAGCTGGAGGAGGAGGAGGAGGAGGCAAGAGGCAGGGCAGGGGTATCTCTGGCGGAGAAGGAGGGGAAGGAGAAGGGAAGGAGGGAAGGGCTGGTGAGTGTCTTGTCTGAAGCCCCTTCTACACTGCCACACCATCCAGATTATTAGAGATCAGAGAATCCGTCTTGTCTGCTATGAGCTGGGTGACATTTATTTATTTATGGCATTTCTATGCCGCCCTTCTCTATCAGCTCCAGCTCCTCATGCGGGGACATGAGAGAAGCCTTCCACAAGGATGATAAAACATCAAAACATCCGGGCGTCCCCTGGGCAATTCTCTCACACCAGAAGCGACTTGCAGTTTCTCAAGTTGCTCCTGACACGACAAAAAAACAACAACAAAACAAAACAAAAAAAACAACAACCCCGAAAGGGACTCAGAGCGGCTTCCAAGATATACAGAAATACAATATATTATACTATTAGCATAGTAGAATATCAGTATTATATATTACATGTAATATTAAATATAGAATTATAATATCATATTATTATATATTATATTATATATTATAATAATAAATATTATTATCAGGAGAGACATCTCCAGCTCATCCCTTGTTTGGGTATCAGCCAGCAAGTCAACGACTTAAATCAAGACATAGTTTTCTAAGATCTACAGAGACACTCGCTGGAACACCTCAGCAAGCGAGAGTCCAAAAGTGGCAGGCTCAAACCCAGAACCTCAATCCGTGGGTGATACCAGATGAGAGACTCCCCCCGCCCCCCGGGCACACAGAGGACTGGGCGATTGGAAGGCGCTGAACAGACTGTGCTCTGGCCCCACGAGATGCAGAGCCAAACTTAAGAAATGGGGCCACAAAGTGGAATCCTCGACATGCGAGTGTGGAGAGGAGCAAACCACTGACCGTCTGCTGCAAATGCACCCTGAGCTCTGCCACATGATGCACAATGGAGGACCTCCTTGCGACAACACCAGAGGCACTCCAAGGGGCCGGAGACTGGTCAAAGGACATCTAATCCACTACCAAACTCGCAAATTTTGTAGGTTGCCTGTTTGTTTGCTTTGTTCTGTTAGAAAGGTAATATAATTTGACTGGTTGTGCTGACACGAGAAATAAACAAACAAATAGTATCATATTATTATTAGTATATTGTATTACATTACCATATTATAAATAAGATATGTATATGCATTCCATGACCTGATGAGCCTAGCCCAGGGGAGACCCTCTCTCTCTCTCTCTCTCTCTCTCTCTCGGCTCCCTCTGCCCGAGGGTCCAGGCCAAGGCCGCTCTCTCTGGCCTGCTGCTGCTGCTGCTGCTGGGAGTGGAGGGAGGGAGGCAGGGAGGGAGGGAGGCCCAGAGGCGGAGGCACTGCCATGAGGAGCCACCCAGGGAAGGCCCTGCAGGCCGCAGAGTCTCCTCGAGAGGCCGCCTTCCAGGCTCCCTCCCAAGCCTAGGCCGCCAAGAAGGAGGAGGAGGAGGAGGCCTCTGAGAGGGAGGGAGGGAAGGGGACAGAAAGGCCGAGCAGGAGGAGGAGGAGAGGAGAGCCAAGCCCGGAGCCCTGAGGAGAGAGGCAGGAGCCTGAGGGGAAAGCCAGGCCCCAGGGAGGGCGCCCAGAGCCAGGACTCACCTCTCTCTCTCTTCTTTCCCTCGTCAACAGGAAGCCCCACACCGAAGCCCCGCCCCTTCCCCTCCTCCGGAAGTGAGGAGCTCACGGGAAAGGCGGCGCCCGAGCCTCCCTCGCCGCTCTAGGAAACCCAGGCTGGCCCCCTCTCGCTGGACTTCCGCCCGGACCAGGCATGGCAGCCGCGGGATGGAGAGGGCCCAGAGAGGGGCGGGGCTTCTTCGCGGCTGTGGAGTCAGGAACAGAGGAACCAGAGAGAGAGCCGCCTTCCTTCTCTTCCAAATGCCCAGCACCCACCAACCAATAGGAATTCGCCTCCTCTCTAGCGTCACCGGTCTCCGGGCAGAAACTCCTCCGCCCTTCCTTCCTTCCTTCCTTCCTTCTTCTGCCCCTCCTGAAGAGGATTCCCGGGATCCGCCAATGGGAATCGGGCTCCGCTCTCCGCGTCACCAGTCTCCAGGCAGACCCGCCCCCTGCGCCTTCCGGGCTGAGGCTCCCTCTGGCGGATGCTGCTGCTGCCCATGCCTGCTATTCAGAGAGAGAGGGGGAGGGGGGGGAGGGAGAGCAGCCAGGCTGGAGATGGACCACACTCTCACCCAATGACCACTCAGCCCCATCCTCAAGCCTGACCCTCCCTCCCTCCCTCCCTGTTGGGCTGGGCTTCTGTCCTGCTCCCCTTCAGTCTCTCTCTCTCTCAATCTCTCTCTTTCTCTCTCTGTGTGTGTATCAGAAATATTGGTTGAATGGATGCAGCTCAATATAGGCAGCTGGACCTGTAGCTTAGCAGGCCTCAGTGTGAGAAGGCCTCAGTGTGAGAGAAGCCCCAGGTTGAAGGCCTCAGGTGTCAATCTACTGTGTGAAGCTTGTATGTTAGTTTGGTGTGAGAGGAGCCTCTGTGAGGGCAAAGCTGTTTATCTGCATGAGGAAGAAGCCCAGGAATAGCCTGTTCGGCCAGGAAGGAAGGAAGGAGTGTGGAAGGAAAGGGAAGCCCATAGAAAGGGTCCCAAGGCTGAGCCCTGCCCTCCTCAGAAGCAGGACAAGAGGAAGTCTGTGTGGAGGGAAGAGGGAGGGTCCCTCGGGAGGGAAGGAGAGGGCAGGGCCCACCCCCAAATACTCCCCAGAGGAGGAGGGAAGGCACCTTTCCCATGAGGTGTCTCAAACTGAACTGACACCGCTCTCCCCCCTCTCTCACTAAGACCAGCCTCTGGCCACAAACCATCCTCGGCTATGGAACATGTCTGAGGCCGGGCCAGGAAGGGGGGTTGCTGGGCGGGGCGGGCCCGGGAGGGGGTGGGCCCAGGAGAGAAAGAGCGGGGCAAGGAGGGGGCACAGTACACCCCGAGGAGACATCATGGGGTTATCTACGGACGATGGGCCGGAGGTGCCACTGCCTTGGTCCTTTCACTGTTGGCTGCTGCTTCCCAGCAAAACTGCAAGTCACTTCTGGTGTGAGAGAATTGGCCATCTGCAAGGACGTTGCCCATGGGACACACTGATGTTTTGATGTTCTACCATCCTTGTGGGACTTGTAGTTTCTCAAGTCGCTCCTGATTCACAAAAACATTTCCCAGCGGTGCAATACCGCCTAAACAGTATAATTTCTCCAGCAGGAGTGGGGCGTAGGCATCCTGTGAGAATGCGGCCTGTCTCACTCAGAGCCACACCCACTGTTTTAACGTGGTGAGATGTGTCCCACACTGGGCATGCGTATTCAGCAGCAGAGTAGCCAAGCGCAAGGGCAGATGTCTCCACTGTGTCTGGTTGTGATCCCCAGGTTGTGAGCGCCTCTTACTCTAGAGCAGAAACAGCAGGTGGCAAGTAAGAGGAACGGAAGCGCACGCTGGGGTGGGGAGCCCGTGGGTGGGGAGCCCCCTCCTCTCTAGAATGGCCCGCTTTCCAGCGCAGAGTCCTGGTCACAGCGTCACAGCTTCTGGCCTTGTAAAGGAGCTCATCTCTTGGAAGCAACACTCTTGAGGTCTGACTTGGGGGTTTGATTCTTGACTTATTTGCTAATTGTAAATATTTACAGGTCTTCTTTTAATATACAAAGACACCCTCAAACAGAGTAAGTTCACACAACAAGGATGGGGATGGATTGCATATGCAGACAATAATGGCAAGGCCTCTGTAAAATACGACAAACAAACGACACATAAATATATGTCAGCTCCACTGGCTGCCGATCCAATTCCGAGCACAATTCAAAGTGCTGTTTTTGACCTATAAAACCCTATACGGCTCCAGTCCAGCGTACCTGTCCGAACGTATCTCTTTCTACGTCCCACCTCAGAGTTTAAGATCGATGCCGATGTCAGATATACATGCATACAAAACAGCAATTAAACCATTAACAGGTTGAAATCATCAGTACATAACACAATGAGTAAACTAATCTCACGCTCAGTGTTCAGAGTTCCACAAATCCATTCCGTTCAGTCCATTCCTGTCCATCATCAAGGTCCTTCCTCTACCTGCCAGAACGTCCCAATGCCTCCTGGTCCCACATCCAAGTTTTCAATTCTTTTCTAAATGACAAGAGGGAAGTCGCCGATCTAATCTCCCCGGGGAGTGAATTAATGTAATACAATGTTCTGGTGGCAGATGACACGATAAATAAAGATTATTACATTTATTATTTTACCCTATTTATTATTAATAATACATTTAATATTTTACCCTATTTATTATTATTGGAAGGATACGTAAGCACATTTACACTGAAGAAGGTTAGAATGATTTAATCAGAGTTCGCCACTCTTATCTCAAATTACCGTTTTATGCAAATATTCAGAAATATTTTTAACCTATAGATGCCTCAATTATTGTAATTTTATTGGTATCTATTTTTATTTGTATTCTTGAAATTGACCAAGAGCTGCTGCATTTCCCTCCCTCAGCTTATACTCAAGTCAATAAGTTTTCCCAGCTTTTGTGCTAAATTAGGTGCCTCGTCTTATATTCGGTCAGCTTATACTCAAGTATATACGACATGTAGCTACTCCCCTGTGTGGATCCTTTGATGGATACTCAGATGTCCACTCCGACTGAAGCTCTTTCCACATTCCATGCATTTATGTGGCTTCTCCCCTGTGTGGATTCTATGATGCTTACGCAGATGTCCACTTTCACTGAAGCTCTTTCCACATTCCATGCATTTATGTGGTTTCTCCCCTGTGTGGGTTCTTTGATGGATATGCAGATCTCCACTCTGACTGAAGCTCTTTCCACATTCCATGCATTTATGTGGCTTCTCCCCTGTGTGGGTTCTTTGATGGATACGCAGATGTCCACTTTCACTGAAGCTCTTTCCACATTCCATGCATTTATGTGGCTTCTCCCCTGTGTGGGTTCTTTGATGGATACGCAGATGTCCACTGTGATTGAAGCTCTTTCCACATTCCATGCATTTATGTGGCTTCTCTCCTGTGTGGGTCCTTTGATGGGAGTGCAGAGTCCCACTCTGACTGAAGCTCTTTCCACATTCCACACATTTATATGGCTTCTCTCCTGTGTGTGTTCGCTGATGTCTAATAAGAGAACTTCTCGCAGTGAAACATTTCCCACATTCCATACAGTTATGTCGCTTCTCCCCTGTGTGTGATTTTGACAAGGAATTGAGATTTTTCATTCTTTAACATTTATGATTCAAATATTATGCCAGAAGGTCACAGATATGTTCTCCTGATTTCCTCTTCTCAGTCTTTGTATTGCTCTACTGTTTACAGCACAATCCTCCCTTTCCTCCTTGAATACACAGCTATGGAGCTCGAAATATAATTTCTCCAACTTATTTCTTGTGAGTGCTGTGTAATTTCATTCCTGACCTAAGACAAAGGGAAGTGTTCTTCACAAGGTTCATTCAGAGGTTACCTGCCAGAGAAATGAGAGGAAAATCGTATCAGGAGCAGAGCACAGAAATACCTCATTGAACAATAATAACAATAGCTTCGTGCTGTAGCCAATGCCGGAGAAGAAGGGAGAAAGAGCGGTCCTATTGAGAAGAGCCTTTGCCTGCCGAGAAGGTCTTTAACACTTGCCCAACAAAGAGCAAGCCCTGCAAAGAGGGGAGAGTGGCCCACGATTCCCTGTATGGGATTATTTGAACTGCAGTGTGTTCAGAGTGTCACCCAACCTTTGCAAAGGAAGACTTCTAACAATACGGTCAGCACAGAAAGGGCTCAGGTTGCAAAGCGTTTCCTGCCTAGATCCCGCTTCCTCACATCCCAACTCAGAACCTGAGTGACCACCTGTACGTACAGACCATCCCAAGTGGTCAGTCTTGTGAGAAAAATACTTCATTTCTTCCAACTGAAGCACATTTTTTCCTGACCCTCTCTTTCCCTGCAGTGCGATCCCTGCCCCACGTTTCTAAAGCGAGGAACCTGGAGACATGGAGAGCATATTCGGCCACAAAGTCCCTTGACATATTGCATTCTTACAAAACCTATACCACAAAGGTGTGAAACATCAGGCAGAACAAATACAAAGGAAAAAAACAAAGCAAACTTCTACACCAAGACCACAAAAACGGAGATAGGGATGCAGAAGCACAGGGTGGGAGGCACTCAGCCTAGCAGCAGGACACGAGAGAAGGGGGTAGAGGGAGGATGGGTGGACCTCCAGTGCTAAAGATGATGCTTCTGCTCTGGCTCCAGGGGTAGGAGGGAAGACATCAAGTTCACCACATCCACTACAGGCCCCTCTTCGGCCCCCGGAGCCCTTTTGTAGGGGTTTCATGGAGGATCACCTGCCAGGTGAGCTGAGGCTGTCACCTGGGTAGTGCCAGGCTTGTTTCCTAAGCAGGACATTGCATAGCTTGTGCCACCAGGCAAATGGTCCCCCAATTCACCAGAGAGTTTATTGATCACATCCACAAGCACCATGGCTTTCTCCTCACAGTAAATGCAGATTGCGGGGCCCACTTTGCCTCCTAGTTTTGGGGAGGGCTCTTCCGTCTCCTGGGAGTACGGCCAGCTCTGAGTCCTGCCGAAGCTCTAGGTGCCCTTACCGCCTACTACAGGGAAAACCAGCTGATTCCTGATACATCTAAAACACAGATATGTGCCTTTCACGTTAAGAACAGACAAGCATCCCGAGCTCTGAAGATCACCTGGGAAGGAATCCCACTGGAGCATTGCAGTGCACCCAAATACCTGGGAGTCACTCTGGACCGTGCCCTGACCTACAAGAAGCACTGCCTGAATATCAAGCAAAATGTGGGCGCTAGAAACAATATCATACGAAAGCTGACTGGCACAACCTGGGGATCACAGCCAGACACAGTGAAGACATCTGTCCTTGCGCTATGCTACTCTGCTGCTGAGTATGCATGCCCAGTGTGGAACACATCTCACCACACTAAAACAGTGGATGTGGCTCTTAATGAGACATGCCGCATTATCACGGGGTGTCTGCGCCCTACACCACTGGAGAAATTACACTGCTTAGCTGGTATTGCTCCACCTGACATCCGCCGGGAAGTAGCAGCCAATAGTGAAAGGACCAAGGCAGAGACATCTCCAGCTCATCCCTTGTTTGGGTATCAGCCAGCACGTCAATGACTTAAATCAAGAAATAGTTTTCTAAGATCTACAGAGACACTCGCTGGAACACCCCAGCAAGCAAGAGTCCAAAAGTGGCAGGCTCAAACCCAGAACCTCAATCAATGGCTGATACCAAATGAGAGACTCCCTCCTGGGCACACAGAGGACGGGGCGACTTGGAAGGCGCTGAACAGACTGCACTCTGGCACCACCAGATGCAGAGCCAACCTCAAGAAATGGGGCCACAAAGTGGAATCCACGATATGTGAGTGTGGAGAGGAGCAAACGACTGACCACCTGCTGCAATGCAACCTGTTCCCAGCCACATGCACAATGAATGGAGGACCTTCTTGCGGCAACACCAGAGGCACTCCAAGGGGCCAGATACTGGTCAAAGGACATTTAATCAACTACCAAGTTTGCAAAATCTGTGTGTTTTTTTTCTTTTTCTTTTTAATCTGTGTTTGTTTTGCTCTGTTGGAATTGTTGCTGTTAGAATAGGTTGCTGATGACACGATAAATAAATAAAATATTTGGGAGTTGTAGTTGCAGGGATTTATAGTTCACCTACAATCACAGAGCATTCTGAACTCCACCAACGATAGAATTGGGCCAAACCTCCCACACAGAACCCCCACATGGGCAACGCGTGGCCGGGGACGGCTAGTATATTTATAATATCATAATGTAATACAGTATAATCCTAATAATATAATGTACTGTAATATATTGTGTATACATATAATATTTATGACATTATAATGTAATACAATATAATCCTAATAATAATAATAACAATATTATATTATACATATATATTTTATAGGACATGTAATATTACTAATAATTTTACAGTACATTGGTATAGTACAATAGAGGAATATACAATACTGATCCTGTACTATGCGCATAATATAATATATTGTGTGTAAATGCCTCTTGTGAGCCGCTCTGAGTCCCCTTCCTTCCTTCCTTCTGGGTGAGAAGGGTGACACGGAGATGTCGTAAATAAATCAATGACATACAGTTGGAAGAGACTCCAAAGGTCCCCCAGCCCAGGAAGGAGGACACCACACAAGCCCTCCCGACAGATGACCACGCAGCCTCTGCTAAGAGACCTCCGGAGAAGGAGGACCCCCCCCCCCGCTGGACCCCCAGGAAAGCCTCCCCAGTGTCCAGTGTGGTCAGGGCAGGAGAGAGTCGGGCGGGACCCGCGAGGCCATCCATCCCCAACCCCCTTTTGTCGAGCAGGAAGGCACCGCCCGATCCCTCCTCGCAGATGGCCATCCAGCCTCGGCTTAAAACCTCCAGAGAAGGAAGGAAGGAAGGAAGGAAGGAAGGAAGGAAGGAAGGAAGGAGAGGAAGGAAGAAGGAAGGAAGGAAGGAAGGAAGGAAGGAAGGAAGGAAGGAAGGGAGCTCCTCCGAACTCCAGGCAGTCTGGGGGGGGGGACCCCAAAGGCCACCCAGCCTGACCCCACCAGGCACAGAGAGAGAGAGAAGGGCGGATTACAAATGTGGTAAACAAAGAAAGAGAGAAAGACGGTCCGCTCTGGAGTGGAGGAGGCGAGGCTCCCTTGCCTCAGGGCCCAGCCCGAGGAGGCCGCCCTCGCTCGCTCGCCTGGGTTTCCTCCTCCTCCTCCTCCTTGGGGGGGGGGGGCAGGCAGGTGAGGAGGCCGAGGAGGAGGAGGAGGAGGCGTTTCCTGGGCAGGCCGCGATTCCCTTCCGAAGCCGGAGAGAGAGAGAGAGAGAGAGAGAGAGAGGCCGCCCTCCCCGCAAGAAGAAGACGGAGCCCAGGCCGAGAGGGAGGGAGGGAGGGAGGGAGGGAAGGGCCGCGAGAAGAAGGGCCACGCAGGCCTACCCCACAGGGACACACTCACTCACCGCCACTCAGGCCTCCTCCTCTCTCCTCGTCCACAGGCCCTTCGCCGCCGCCCTTGGCTCCTCCTCTTCCTCCCGCGCTCTCTCTCCGGAAGTGAGCTCATGGGGAAAGGCCGAGCCCGAGCCTCCCCCGCCCCTCTAGGAAACGGAGGCCCGCCCCTCTCGCTGGGCTTCCGCCAAGACCAAACATGGCCATGGCCGCGCGGGGGCTGGGTGCCCAGAGAGGGGCGGGGCTTCTTGGCGGCGAAGGCGAGTCAGCAGCAAGAGCGCCTCCTTCCTTCCTTCTCTTCGGAAGGCTCAGCACCCTCCCGCCAATAGGAATTCGCCTCCCTCGGCGTCACCGGTCTCCGGGCAGAAACTCCTCCGCCCTTCCTTCCTTCCTTCTTCTGCCCCTCCTGAAGAGAATTCCCAATGGGATGCGCCAATGGGAGTGGGCCTCCGCTCTCCGCGTCACCAGTCTCCAGGCAGACCCGGCCTCCCAAGAGAATTCTCCCTCTGGCTGCTGCTGCTGCTGCTGCCCATTCAGAGAGGGAGGGAGGGAGGGAGGGACTCCAGCCAGCCTGGAAGTGGACCACAGTCTCATCCAAGGCCTACCCAACCCAATCCACAAGCCTTGCCCTCCCTCCTAGGCTTGGCTTCTGTCCTGCTCCCCTTCAGCCTCTCTCTCTCTCTCTCTCTATTAAAAAAAGAACTAGGAAGACTTAATTCCATAACAATCATAATCATAATCATAATAACAATAATAGGGTTACAGCCCGTGTTGGATGGGGTCACACTCCCCCGGCCTGAAGACACAGGTTTGCAGCCTGCCTGGGGGTGATCCTGGACTCATCGCTGAGCCTGGAGCCCCAGGTCTTGGCGGTGGCCAGGGAAGCTTTTGCACAATTAAGAATGGGATATAATAATGTCGAGAGAGAGAGAGAGAGAGAGAGAAGTAATAATAAAGATAATGTACCAAAAACGATTAGAATGGAACACGGAAACAGAAGAGATACAGGAAAATATGATTCAATGGGCTGAGGATATTGACCGCTCTCTCTTCTCAGAGGAATGGGGAAAAGTGTGGAAACGGAAATCAAAATACTCAAGATCTATAAAAGTAATAGAAAACTGGTAGAACATGTTTTTCCATTGGCACACCAGAGAAGCTAGCAAGATGCTATAAAAACCAAAATCATAAATGTTGGAAATGTGGGGAAGTCCGTACCTTGGGAAGTCTGACTTGGCCACGGTGGTCCACGCTCTGGTTACATCCCACTTAGACTACTGCAACGCTCTCTACGTGGGGTTGCCTTTGAAGACTGCTCGGAAGCTTCAAATGGTCCAGCGCTCAGCAGCCAGGTTGCTAATTGGAGCGGCACTCAGGGAGCATACCACTCCTCTGCTGCGCCAACTCCACTGGCTGCCAGTTTGCTACCGGGCACAACTCAAAGTGCTGGCGTTAGCTTA